TGATGAACATCTCTGCTCACTGGGCACTGCTGATCACGTCCTCTTTTGGGGAAGGGGGTACCGGGGATTGACTCAGGGCACTCAATAACGGAGCTTCATTCCAAGCCCTCTTTTGTATTTTATTTAGAGACAACGTCTCACTGAGTTGCCTAATGCCTTGCTTTTGCTGAGGCTGGCTTTGAACTCGCCATCCTCCTGCCTCAGCCTCCCAAGCTGCTGGGATTATAGACATCCGCCACCACATCCAGCGATCACTTACTCCTTCTTGCTTGCCTTACATCCCTGACTTCCAATTCACCATTTTTTCTTTGTACTTCATGTACTTCTTTTTTTTTTTTTAAAGAGAGAGAGATAATTTTTTTTTAATATTTACTTTTTAGTTTTCCGCAGACACAACATCTTTGTTTGTATGTGGTGCTGAGGATCGAACCTGGGCCGCACACATGCCAGGCGAGCGCGCCACCGCTTGAGCCACATCCCCAGCCCCATGTACTTCTTTTGGGCCCTTGGGAACTTCTCTTTTCTTCTCCTTATACCTGAATGTTCCCTTAGTTAATATCCTTGTCTCTCCACTCTTCTTTCTTTATGAAATCTCCTTTATGAGTTTATTGTCTGCATAACTTTTGCCATAATAGCTGTATGTTTAAGAGTTCCAGATCAGATCTTCAACCCTAATCATGCTTTTGACCTTCATATTCAAATATCAGTCTTCATACAGGACATATTTATCTATGTGTCCGAGAGGTATCTGGAGACAAACACCCCTGTCCTGGCTCCCACTTCTTCTCACTCATTCTTTCACTACTGTTTCCGACTTCAGCTAACAGCATCAGCATCCACTGTGATCTCCAAGAGACAACCTGACTCTTCCTTCTCTGTCTTCTCTATAACTGAGCAATCAATCAAATTTGGCAAATTTTGTCTCCTAAATTGCTCTTCCCTGAAACATTACTAATGCGGTCCTAGGACAAGCTCTCATCCTATGTGTCTGGGGCTAGTACAACAATTTCCTAACTAATCTTGTATCAGCCTTGTATCCTTCAATTCTGTACCCTGCAGCTGCAGTGACCTCTAAAATCTGTCAGCCTAAGCTTCTTGTGATGGCACACAAACTCTACCCAAAAGGGGCACCTGTTTAGACTCTTTAGCCTCTCTAGCCACCCTCTAAGTCTCACAACTTATACTTTGATAAATCTCTATTGGCTTATATTTATACATGCACACCTGGACTCTACTCTCTCCAAGGCTTTGCTTAGCAGATACTGCTATCTTTGCCTAAAATGAGCTCTCTTGCTGGCCTCCTGGTCCTCTCCACCTTTATAAACTTCTAGATACCCCGAAGGGCAGCCTTGGTGGCATCTTCTCTGAGAAGCCTTCCTTGAACCCTCAGTTCTGTTCTGATGGCTGTCTGGAAAACCTCTTTCTTATTACTTTCTTCTTCATGTTGAAATAATCTCTTCATATACCTGTGTTTCCCACTAAACTGATAGCTGTTTGTGGCCAGGGACAATGAGTGAGAGACAGAGATAGAGAGAATGTTTTTTAATCTTTATTTTTTAGTTTTGGCGGGCACAACATCTTTGTTTGTATGTGGTGCTGAGGATCGAACCCGGGCCGCACGCATGCCAGGCAAGCACGCTACCACTTGAGCCACATCCCCAGCCCGACAATGTTCTTTTGTTTTATTTCTTTGTTCTAATCAGTTATACATGATAGCGAAATGCTCTTTGATTCATTGTACACAAATAGAGCACAGTTTTTCACTTCTGTGGTTCTAAATACAATAGTGTCACACCATTCGTGCAATCATACATGTACCTAGGGTAATGATGTTCATCTCATTCTACCATCTTTCCTATCCCCATGCCCCTTGCCTTCTCCTTCCTCCCTTTTGGCTAATCCAAAGTTCCTCCACTCATCCCCTGCTCCCCGCCCCCCATATGGATTAGCATCCGTTTATCAAAGAAAACATTTCGCCTTTGGTTTTTTGGGATTGGTTTACTTCGCTTAACATGATATTCTCTGACTCCATCCCTTTATTTGCAAATGCCATATTTTATTCTCTTTTATTGCTGAGTAATATTCTATTGTGTATATATACCACAGTTTCTTTATCTGACAATATTCTTTTTTTTTTCCTTGTGACAAGAATTGCAGACTTGGGATCAAGCCCTTCTTCTAGTTAGTAGCTTTACATCACTTTGAAAAAGTCACTTTTTGTATTTCTGAATTCAGTTTTCTAATTTGTAAAGTGAAAATACTTCCACGTAAGATTTATTGAGTGAAAATGCCTGGAAGCCCAACAAGATTTTTGTCCTTAAAATGGATTAAAGCAGAGGAGGCGGAGGCCAATGGAGTGACAGAGGAGGAACTGAAAAGAGGTTGCAGAGTAGTAAAGGGGGCAAACGGAGGAGGTAAGGAAAGCACCTGGTACTGGGAAACAGAAAGAAGGCTTGATAAGGGGAGTTACAAAGTCAAAGAAGAGTCTGGGGTCATTGGGAGTGGAAAAGAACAAAGACAAATGGGACAGGAAAGGATGGAATGAAGAAGTGAGCATGCATGAATGGCCCCATGACAGGGAGCAGGGAGAGAGACTAAGAAGGACAAGAAATAGTCTCAGAAATGGAAGAAATGGCATTTACCTTGCCTGGATCAATCATGAAAGTAAGAGGTAGGAAAAAGATGTAGTGATAAATCTTTAACCCTAAAGACTAACAACCTGGAGACAAAGAATTGTTCCACAGTTACCAGTTCAGTCTGGGAATGGGGCATCAGGGTAGAGGGGAGGAGAAAGAAAGGGCTCTGCCATTGCTAGGGAAAGTTTAAGAGGCAGAGATCATTAAAGTAAAGATGACTGAACAAATGAAGATCTGAAAGGGGAGCAAGGAGGGAGGAGAGACCCAGCTAGGGACTGAAAGCTCTTTCATAGGTAGCATATCTAGGCTGATGAGTATTTTGGGAAAATGAGAATATGGATGAAAGTCCCCAAGGCAAGTCTGAGGACTGAATTAGACCATGTCTGCCCGGTGAAGTAAAAAGAACACTAAGTTTGAGCTCAAGCACACCTGACTTTTTTGCTTCATTCTTTATTTTCTTTTTAAACGCTGGGTGTATTTAATTTGCTTTTCTAAAGCTCGTTTCTTGAAAAAATTATAAAATGGAGATGAAGTCACCTACCTGGAAAGCTTGTGAAGAGTAATCATTTACTCTTAATGCACAAAATTGCTAGCGGTGAGTGGCAAACAGCAAATACTCAGTGAGTGTCAGAATTTGACGTTTGCCTTTCTCTCTTGTCCTATGCCTGTGTGCTCTGGGGTCATGGTTGTCTTTGGTTCCTCATTTCCTGCACCAACAGCTGGATGCCAGGCTGCTGGATTCACCTCCTTTTATTCTTTTATTTTCCACTTCCCAATGCCACAGTCCATTCACTGAGAGCACATGGATATCAGTGAACCAAGGTCAAAACCATTCCTCCCAGAGAAAACCCCCATCCCCACCCAAGAGTTTCTTGGAAAAAAGATTTTGATGTCTTCCTATTCGCATTCTGAAAAGGATGGTTGCCCCAGGAGAGAGGAGGAACTCTTGTGGAAAGCGAATTCCTGTCCCCTTTTTCTAAGTTGCAGCATCATTTTCTGGTTCTCCTTGGGACATATCCTCTTCAGCTGCCAGTTTTGAGACTCTGCAGTGTGAAGGACCTGTCAGCACTGAGAAGAGTAACTGCCACATGGATGACGACTTGAAGGACCCAAGGGAAACTGACTATCAGGTCAAGGGCTACACTTTCAGTGAACCCTTCCATCTGATCGTGTCTTATGGTAAGGTCCTCGGAAGACCTAACTGGTGTCCCAAACTCCTTCTTTTAGCTCCACAGCCCACTCAGGAAAATGACCCATTCAGGAAACTGGCCATAGGTTGAGGACTCATCTTCAGCCCCCAGCAGCCAGGAGATCCTCAGTTCTAGGCCCTAGAGAAATTGTCCCACACTAAGTCTAGAGAAGGGTCAAGGTGATGTGGTGAGAAATCTGGAACTCAAAGTTTTAAATTGGAGGCAAAAAATTGTTCCACAGTCACCAGCACAGACTGTGAGTAGGGGGTCTGGGGGAGAAAGGAGGACAGAGAAATGGGTTTCCCATTGCTAAGGCGAGTTGACAGAAGCATTTCAGTAAGGTATTAAGGGGTGAGAATTTATATGAATGGACCCTTAAGGAAAGTTTAGGGAGCCTCTTGTGGGCATCCCTGGGGGTTTTCTCAAGTGAGACAGTGGGTAACACTCAGTTCTTCCTCTGGGCTAGACTGGCTGATCCTCCAAGGCCCAGCTGCACCCATATTTGAAGGAGATCCACTGGTTCTGCGCTGCCGGGCCTGGCAAGACTGGCCACTGACTCAGGTCACCTTCTACCGAGATGGTTCAGCCCTGGGTCCCCCTGGACCAAACAAGGAATTCTCCATCGCTGTGGTGCAAGAGGCAGACAGTGGGCATTACCACTGCAGTGCCATCTTTAGAAGCCCCGGTCCAGGGAGCCCAGAAACAACATCTACGGTGGCTATCACAGTCCAAGGTAAGAGCTAGAGTCAGCACTGCTGTGGTAAAATCAAGTAAGAAGGGACAGGGAGCCCAAAATTGTTTTTCTTTGGTGTAGGGGTAGAAAGATCATTAAATCCTTGAGGAACAGATTGCTAGCAAATGCCCAATTGGAGTTTCAGGAGTGTCAAAATCGCAGCATTGCCTTTTTAAATCATCAACCCCACCCAGAGTTCAGTGTTTCCTACCACCCAGATCTATGCTTTCTGTCAATTGTAGATTGGGTATCTGGACTGCTATCTTATTGCCCATCTCTGGATCTTTACTGGTTCTGTCTAGTTGAGGAGAGAGGGAGAGAGAGAGAGAGAGAGAGAGAGGTGTCAAATGGGGCTGAGTGAAGTGACACACACCTGTAATCCCAGCTACTCAAGAGGCTGGCAGGAAGATCACAAGTTTGAGGCCAGCAAGGGCAGACCTTGACTTAGTGAGACCCTGACTCAAAATAAAAATTTTAAAAGGACTGGGATGTAGCTCAATGGTAGAGCACTTGCCTAGTTATAGGCTCTGGTTTTAATCAGCAGTTCTGTGAAAACAAAACAAAAGTTCAAGAGGAATCTTTCTTTAAAAAAAAAAAATTCTGGTGGAAAAGGAGGAAAGGACCTCTGACCTGGCTGCTTGGCCCCTCATGGTCCTACTTGAATATAGAATGGCTGAGCTCTTCTTTCTTGCTTACCTTTCCCTCAGAACTGTTTGCAGCCCCAGTTCTCAGAGCCTCGCCGTCTGCTGAACCCAAAGAAGGAAGCCCAGTGACTCTGAGCTGTCACACAAAGCTGCCCCTGCAGAGGTCAGCCGCCCGCCTCCTCTTCTCCTTCTACAAGGATGGAAGAACAGTGCGCAGCAAGGGCCTCTCCTCAGAATTTCAGGTCCCCACAGCCTCAGTAGAGCACTCAGGATCCTACTGGTGTGAGGCAGCCACTGAAGATGGACAAGTTTGGAAACAGAGCTCCCAGCTAGAAATCAGGGTGCAGGGTAAGTGTGTATGTGTCTCTTTGGTTTGTGTGTGACAACAAGGAGATGGGTACAGGATGACTGGACCCATGGGCTGGGTTCAGCATAGGAAGGTGAAGTAGGGACATAGAAAGCCAGGCACAGTGGTATATACCTATAATCCCAAAGGCTCAGGAGGCTGAGGCAGGATCATGGGTTCAAAGCCAACTTCAGCAAAGGCGAGGTACTAAGCAACCCAGTGAAACTGTCTCTAAATAAAAATGCAAAAAAAGGCTAGGGATGTGGCTCAGTGGTTATACAACCTTGAGTTCAATCCCTGGTACCACCCCACCAAAAAAAAAAAAAAAAAGAAAGAAAGAAAGAAAGAAAGGACATAGAAGAGAGCCCAAATAGAGAACTTCTCCCTCAAACCATGGTGCCAACGCTATCGAACCAAGACCTACGTGCACTGCCTCATAGAACTTAGGTTCCTTATATCATTTCTGGGCATTTACAGGAATATAATCTCTAGAATGAGGGATAAAATCCATGTTAAAATATGGGAGCTACCATTCAGAACTTGACCTGAAATACATTCAGAGGAGTTGTCTAGTGTGATGAGGAAGCCTGAAGCCAAGTGAGATGAAAAATAATAGAAGGAACTGGTGATGCCCATCCTAAAGAGGAGGTGGTTTAGGGGACCAACACTGATGTCCTCAAAAAGCTAACAACTGGACCACGAAGGAAGAATCAGACTAATGTCTTATATAATAAAGAGGTTGCTTAGGACGGTATAATATATCCATGCTTCAGTGAATTAGATTTTGTCTTGAAAGAGGAAACATCGGTTAATAGTCCATCTAATAATGAGGTCTTCTTGCTAGGATGTTCAAGAAAAGATAGCCAATCTTCAGATTAAAATTTGGATTAGGAGGGACACTAGAGTCCTCAAGTCCCTTTTGCCACTGGAACCCAAAGCCATTTCAGAGAATGAAAAAGGCTGCTATGACAATAGGTCCAGGTTTAATTCTTGTATGTGCCTTTTGCCATATAATCCAGGTCCCTCCAGCTCTGCTGAATCGCCCACCTTGAATCCAGCTCCTCAGAAACTGGCTGCTCCAGAAACGACTTCTAAGGAGACCCCTGGCCCTCTGCCTCCACTAGCTACCCCTTCTGAGCACCGAGGCTTCTCCTCTCCGGATCCCCACCTGCATCACCAGATGAGCATTCTTCTCAAACTCATGCAGGATGTAAGAGCTCTTCTTGGTCACCTGGTCATAGAGCTGAGGGACTTATCTGGCCACCTGAAGCCTGAAACCACAAAGGCTCCTGTCAAGTGAAAGTACACTATTCAACCATGATCTGGCTCACCCACCCCCGATAAGTCCAATATTTTCTACTTTTGTCTTTCTATTCTGCACACATGCATAGTTTTACAAGTTGTCCTCAGTGTCTTATAAGAACAATGGAATTAGGGGGCATATAAATAAATTTGTATGAAGCAATAATTGGAGTTTAACTATAATTGTTTATTCTTATAGCATGACAACATCATTGTGTTCTCTCCAGATCAGGAATTTCTGTTCCCCAAGCCAGAACCTGATGACTTAAAGAGAAAAAAAAAATGGAGGTAGATTTCATATAGCAATATCAAGTGGGGGCAATTTTGTTCCCTGAACATTTTTGTCCTCACACAAGGTAAAAGGGATGTGTGTGCCACTGGCATCTAGTCAGGAGAAGCCAAGAATGCTGCTAACTATCCTATAATGCACAGGACATCCTCTTCCTCTTAACAAAAGATAATCTATCCCAAAATGCCAACAGTGCCAAAGTTGAGAAACCCCAGCCTAATGATAGACAAGTATTAGACTCTGGAGTGAGACTTTCCCTCTACTAAGTATCCTCTCCTTCCAACCTCCTAAAGCAAATATTAATTACATGCTACTATTTAGTCAGTGCTATGGTCTGAATGCTTATTTCTCCAAAAATTTATATATTGAAATCTTAATCCCTAAGGTGATAGTATTGATAGAAGGGACCTTTGGGACTAGATGAGGTAATGAGAGCAGAACCCTAGTATTGGGATTAGGGCCTTTATAAAGAAGACCCTACAGAACTAGCCTGCCCTTTTGCCATGTAAGAACACATCAAAAAGATGCTCTTTAGGAATCAGAAAGTGAGCCCTCTGGGCTGGAGTTGTGGCTCAGTGGTAGAGTGTTTGCCTGGCATGTGTGAAGCCCTGGGCTGGATCCTCAGTGCCACATATAAATAAATGAAACAAAGATCCATTGATAACTAAATATATATATAGAGAGCCCTTGCCAGTTGCTGAATCCGTTTGCTTGCTTTAAGCTTGGATTTCCCAGCCTCCAGAATTGTGAGAATAAATTTCTGTTGTTTATAAACTACTCTGTTTATTGTATTTTATTTTAACATCTCAATCAAACTAAAACCTTGGCCTCTGTTATATGCCTGAATTTATACTATGTCAAGAATACTCAGATGGGAGGGCTGGGGTTGTGGCTCAGTGGTAGAGTGCTCACCTAGCACGTGTGAGGCTCTAGGTTCAATCCTCAGCACCACATGAAAATAAATAAAATAAAGGCAACTAAACAACAACAACAACAACAACAAAAAAAAAACTCAGATGGAGCACAGTGACCCATATTTGTAATCCTAGCAACTTGAGGAGCTGAAGCAGGAGGATTACAAGTTCAAAGCCAGCCTCTGCAATTTAGCAAGCCCCTCTCAACATAAAAAACAAAGGCCTGGGGATGTGACACAGCATCCCTGGGTTCAATCCCCAGTACCAAAAAAAAAAAAAAAAAAAAAAAAAAAAAAAGAAGAAGAAGAAGAAGAAGAAGAATCAAGGCAGTGTTTCTGTCTACAGAGGAATTAGACTTTGGAATGGAGGGGCAGTAATACTGATAGTCATAATACAATTAGAATAGGGTATATTGAATTTTCCCACAGAATCTTTGGAGCTCAGAAATATATGATCAAGCATAACATTATATTACATTGCCAGATTATCAATTGTTTTAATTTGGTACTGGGGATTGGACCTAGAGGCACTTTACCACTAAGCCACATCTCCCATCCTATTTACTTATTTTGAGATAGGGCTTCACTAAGTTGCTAAGGCTGACCTTAAATTTGTGATCCTCCTGTTTCAGCCTCCCAAGTGACTGGGATTACAGGCATGTGCCATAGTGTTCAGCTGTCTCTGAAATACTTTTTAAAAGTATGTATGAATCTTTGGTACCATCATAATATGTTTTTCTATTATTGGACTACTATTTACATTCTCAACCAATGAGAGCTAGCCTGGCAGACTCTACAGTAACATTTGGTCAATGAATTAGCATACCATGTTATAATGGCCTCTGCCAATGGATGTTCTATCTGAATTAAGTGGTATGAAGTTTTCACTGTAGCCTTTCTTTGTGCCGTTTATTCTGTACAGTTTTAACCTACAACAATTTACAAAATATGTGCACATGATCCTTCTAGATATGCCACAGAAAAATGAAGGAATAGAATTATTCTAATTCTAACATAGATTTATGGTGGTTCTTAGCATTTCCAAGGGGAAGGATCAGAAGGCAATGGGGAATTGGTGGAAGTTCATAATACCACTACAGTCTGAGAGGGCTGATTAACAATTATGTGAGTAAGAGTTCCAAGAAATGACCAGAGACATATCATGACTTTGGCAGATGTAAAAAAGAAATGGGAGCTAGGCAAAGGTTGTGACACAGTTGTGACTGTGTCACACACAATCATTGTAATCCCAGTGACTTGGAAGTTTGAGGCAGGAGGATCACAAGTTCAAAGCCAGACTCAGCAACTTAGCAAAGTACTTAGCAGCTCAGAGAGAACCTGTCTCTAAATAAAATACAAAAAAAGGGCTAGGGAAGTGGCACAGTGGTTAAGTGCCCCTGGGTTCAATATCTGGTATCAGGAAAAAAAAAAAAAAAAGGAAATTCGACTGCCAATACTGTGCTGGGTATATTTCCAAAAATATACTATGTCATGATCATTCTACAAGGAGTTGTTTTCAGTTAATGATCCCATTTTTATGAATGCATTCTGTAAGTTCATGTTAAATAGAGAATTCACTTACAGATAATAAAAACTATCAGTTCAGTGGGGCGGGGGAGGAATGCATGCAGCTGGCTGAGATGAGTTTCACTTCTGTGTTCCTCATCCAACTGTGCATGTTAACTTAACAACCAGTGGAAGATATTTAGGGAAACACGTGAGGGAAGGTGTATGCAGAGTTTCTTCACCCTCTCTGGGTGCACCACACTCCCAGCATCTCTTTGTCTTCACTGGTTGGTGATTAGATCAATCTCCAGTTCCTCTCTTTTCCTGGAGGTCAGAGGGTAGGGCTGAAAATTCTCAGCCTCTAATAACAGGGTTGGTTTCTTTGGCAACCACCCCCATCTTCCCAGGAGTTGCCTCATATGCGTAAATTCCACAACAGTTTTTTTCTTATAAATAAGAAAAGATGTTCCTCTCACCTGTAACACTTAGGACTTTCTTGGGGTTTTAGGAATTGTCAGGACCCAGGTACAGAGGTCAAACATATTTCAGACTGTGTCACATAACATCTGATATCCAGTAAAGTTAAATATTTGCATAGCTTATCACCTGGCATTCCATGCCTAGGTGTATATCCCCAAGAGAAATTTTAGCATATATGTATCAGAAGTCAGGTATCATAATGTTCGAAGAGTACTATTTGAAAAAGCAAAATTTTGGAGTCAACTCAGATGTCCACCAATAGTAAAATGAACAAGTTGTGCTATTTTCACAGAATGGAATGCTATGTAGCAGTAAAAATGAAAAAACCATACCTATAATGCAACAACATAAAAGAATCTCAAGAATATAAACACCAGGGGCTGGGGATGTGGCTCAAGCGGTAATGCACTCACCCGGCACACGCGGAGCGCTAGGTTCAATCCTCAGCACCACATAAAATAAAATAAAGAAGTTGTGTCTGCTGAAAACTGAAAAATAAATATTAAAAAATTCTCTCTCTCTTCTCTCTCTTAAAAAAAAAAAGAATATAAACACCAGGTGATAAAAACAAACATGCAGTAGAAGATCCTTTATACAATGTTTAAAAACAGGTAAAACAAAGGAACATATTGTTTAAGTATTCACATACATACATATGATAAAACTTTTGAAAAACAAAAACAAAAAGGCACACAAGAAATTAAAACACCAAAGTCAGAATAGTAGTTATCTCTGAGGAGTAGATTGGGGAGATAATGAGGAAGAGCACATAGGCAGAAATAGATTATTAATTTTTTTCCTCTTCTCTGATAGGCATTGAGGGCTCCTTAAAAAGAGAAATAAATATATATATGATATATTTATGTATAAGTATATGTTTATATACAAATACATAAACAAAAAATATATTAAAAAATCTGTTATATATAAATAATATATGTGAATATACAAATATACATTTAAATATAAATATAAACATAAATATTAAATATATTTGAATATAAATATATGTCAAAATTTTATATATGTGGATATATATGCATACATATATGTTATATATTATTCAATTCACTTTATGTTTCTACCTTGGCTTTCTCTTAGAGGGAATAGAAAGCTAAGTTTATTACTTACAATGTGGAGTAGTTCTTTCCTTCATTTCCTTCATTCTTTCAGAAAGCTCCTTCTGCCCCACCCAGCAGTCCAGCATAGAAAACTTAGATTCAGTTACAACTTAGATGAGGACTAGGAAGAAACAAAATGACCTGCTAGAATCACAAGGGGAATTTAAACAGTGTGTGAATTGGGACAGGGCTTATCCTTGCTTTGGCTCCTTAAAATTTTTCTTCCTTTTTTGGTGCGAACTCTCCCCTTTTAGAGTGAACAAGTGGGAATTCTTAGGAATATGGAAGTATAGAATGCTGTCTTCCTGAAAGAGCTCCTTCTGGCAAACACTGCTAGTTTTCACTCACCATGTGTGAATTTTTCATAAAGGTAAAGGTTTTCAATTTAAAGAAATGTTCTGCTCTCTAGTCTAAAATAGGCCTTTATATTTCATTGGTATTTGAAATGCCTTTCTCTTATTCAAAAGCTTATATTTAAGAATAACAATTTTTAAAACACCTTTATTTGGAAAAATAAAAACTTGTTTGGCAAAGTTACAAAGTTAGGAAATACCAGATGTTGCCTGGCACAAGGAACACATGCTTATAATTCCCCCTACACAGGAGGTTGAGGCAGGATTGTGACAAGTTCAAGGCCAGCCTGGGCAACTTAGTGAGACCCTGTCACAAAATTTTAGAAAAGTGGGGAGGGAGCTGGGGATATAGCTCAATGGTAGAGTGTCCCTGGGTTCAATCCAGCACTGCAAAAATACATATAAACATACATACGACATACATATATACCAAATGTTGATGACAAGAAGGAGTAGGAATGTTGGGAGCCATTAACATGAGTATGCACTAATGCAAACACTTTGAGAATAATATCACAGTATTCAGTCTTTCTTTCTTTGGCCCACAAACACTTACTCAGTGCATGCTATGTGCTGTCACTATTCTAAGTGATTGTTATGGTTTGGATGTGCAGTATCCCCCAAAAGCTCATGTGTGAGACAATGCAAGAAAGCTTAGAGGAGAAATGATTGGGTTATGAGAGCCTTAACCTAATCACTGAATTAATCCCTTAATGGGATTAACTGAGTGGTAACCTAAAGTCGATAGGGTATGGCTGAAGGAGGTGGATCACTGGGGGCATGCCTTTGGGGCATGGTGAGTGGAGTCTCTTTGCTGCTTTGTCATCATGTGAGCTGCTCCCCTCCACCACATGCTTCCACTATGATGTTCTTCCTAGAGCCCCCAGGAATGGAGTCTGCTGTCTATAAAGTAAGACCTCTGAAACTCTGAGCCCCCAAATAAACTTCCTTCTCTAAAATTGTTTTTGGCAGGTATTTTAGTTACAGCAGTGAAGAGGCTGATTGAAACAGTGATATAGCAAGGAACAAGAAAAAGAAATTCCTGCCTTCATGGGGTTTACCTTCCAATGGAGGAAAATCTACCACAAAAAGATACAATGGTAGGGATAATAGATGCTATGAAAAGAAATAAAACAATATGCAGAGCCAGAGAGCAATGATGAGGGGACACTATTTTAGATTATGTGATTAGTGACTACCTCTCTGAGGAGGTAGTATTTGAGTGAAGTGAGGAAGTGAAACTTGCAGTGATCTGGGAGGATAAGAATCTTTCAGGCAGAAAGAACAGCAAGCGAAGCACCAGAGCAAGACTAAGTGTGGAATTTTCTATGAGCCATTATAAACAACACTGTGTGACTTGACCAGAGTGAGGCAGAAAGTCAGAGGAAAT